CAGTGGAACCGACAAATAAGTTATGCAGGATCTGAGGAAGGGAAGATGGAGTCTGACCGTATTCCGACGTCCACTTGCGGTAAAAAGGCTGAACTCTCGTGGAGATATCATGTGACTTCATGTCCAAGGTCTTCTCCATGGCGGCTTTGCTTATGCTTCTGATCTCCCCGAGTGATCCCGACCAGAACCTGTAAGCAGGGCCTCTCACCCCTTGCTTCCTGAAAGCTTCTGTGATCACATATGGCCTCCATGTCAGATACTTCAACCCCTTCCATAAGTACCAGATCAGAACCACCAACAGAGCACCCAGTACGAGACCGAGATTACTCATCGGTCTTGCAGAAGGGAGAGCTCGGAAAGGCGAAGCTGTGCGCGCTTTCTCTTGCGAATGGCCTCCGATTCTTCCGGTTTTATCTACAACAAAACGATCTGTCCCAGACAATGACCCATCTTTGCTTCGTTCACTGGTTCCGTTGATTTGGATCCTTCTGTCCGTCATTTGCACCAACAAAATGTGGACACACAACTGTGTTGCTCAGATTCAAGTTTCTTGTGGCCATAAGAAGTTTTCTACTGCAAGCCGTCACCTCGAAAGCTGCCACGCTAGTCATCAGCCACTGAGGAAGCTTGTATCCCCGAAAACTCTATGCATAGTTGACTTTGCATTCGAGGGCATGCAGACCAACAATTTACAAATATCCTCGTGGAGTTGGATCATCGTCCATCAGTACCCATAGAATGAAGCATCGTGTGGTTGAAAATGACTCAGCATCAAAAGCTAATAAAAATAAAAATAAATAAATAAATTTCTTTCATTTGTGCCTCAATAGTTATTTTCATTTTGTCATTTGATGTCGTCAAACTTTATTCCTAACTCAAAACTGTAGTTATCAAAGTGGGAAAAAAATTTAATGTGCATATTTAAAATATACTATTGTTTAAAATATTTAAATTATTAGATAGTAAATTACTTAAAATATCAAACATATAATTTAATTAGTATTTTTTTAAAAAAATATTCTCTTTTTAGTACTTTTCAAATGGCAACCCTTCTTTTCGTTATTTCCAAACAATAGTTTTAAGATATCATAAATATCCCTCCAAAAGCTACCAACTATTTTTTCGCCCATTTTTTATCCACCCTATTGGCCGATCCATAGGGTGGTCTGCTCCAAGTGTTCCACAAAAACATTATATAGTCATAATAAAATAAATGTATGGCTCATCATAGAGTATTAGAAGACTATATCTATAAGTACTAAGACAACGCAGAAGAGTAGAGGTTAGAAAATTTTGTAAGATCAGTGTCGATGGACTTCTCATCAAGATAGCCAAAAATAGAGGATTTCAGGTTGATGCAAGAGTGCTCGATCAAAGAATAATATAGGTAGTTTGTAGTATTATATTTTCTACTTAGAGGAGTAGGCAGTAGAAATTATAAAGAAGACGATATAATCCTAAAGGTGATGAAAACTATCGGAGACTTACGCCAAGTTAGAATAAAATTTACTCTTTTCAGTCAAAACTTCTTGCATTCTAGAAGTTAAATAATAATAAAAAGGTAAATTATAGTAACTAACTTAATACAATAAGTGCAAACACTTTAGATGCTTCATAAGCATAAGCAAAGAGTAGACGAAGCCTTGTAACCAGCTTAGTGCATAAAGTATAACCCTTTAGGAGATGGACAAAGTTAAGTAATCTTTTCCTTCTTAATTCTTAAGAGAATATGTGAAATCGAATATCCTAGTTCTTTTATTTGTCTAGTAAATGAGCTATACACATGTTCAAGGACCCTTCGAAGAGACTTAGTGGAAGATAATAATTATCAAATCCTCACTAATGGTGATAGATTCTATTGAAAGTAGATTGTCTGCTTTATTTATTAACAAAATAGTAATTAAAAGCAAAAGTGATGTAAACCTACTTGGAGGCGATAACTAAGTAGAAAAAAAATTAATAGCAAATTTTGTAGAGAAAAGACCTAAAAAACTTTTAAATCTATTAAAACAATGCTTATTAAAATCCAACAAGTATCTATCGAGTTCAAGTAGTACAAGATGTTTGAGAGACTAGTACATAATAAGAAAGGTCTTTTTCCTTCATCTAAGTAATTCGTAGGAACTAACAAAGGTCAACACAACTCGCTTGACTAAAGTTAATAATTTGAAAGTAACATTTGTGGATCAAAGTTTGACTATTTAACAATAGAGACGGAAAGCGGTTGGAAGTTGAGAGAGGTGCATTGTAACTAAAATGAAAAATTGAAGATTTAGCAATTGTGAGGAGATGTAGCGTCCGTAAAGGCTTCGGGGAGGACGTCGAAGTAATAAATATTATACATAAGGTGTTTGATGTAATGTTTGTGTATATCTGTGTCTTTTGATTTTGTTCATGCATAATACAATATGTAGAGGGCCTGTAGTAGGGTTAGTAACCCCATTTTAATTGGCTTTCATAGCTCTTTTAGTTATATAAATGCAAGTTATGTGTAATTATCATGCAGAGGCAAAACTGCCCAAAAATAAATCACCAAAATAGTCATTTTAGGTGTTTATCTAGTTTCGCAGAATGGTATAGAGTGTTAGCCAGCACACTAAAGCTATATGAGTGGTACATGACTGGATTGATCTTTAGAATATTATCTATAGTTTATTTGTTGTCTTATTCTGAAGCAGTGTCTTGTGGGTATTTATTAGAATTTTTTGTCATAAAAGACTATCTCGGACCCTTTCTTGTACAACAATTCATGACTTACAAAATATATATTTATAATTTATATTATCTATAAAATATTTGCTAAAATGTCTAAGACGTTGAGTTAAACACTTCCTTAACATGTCTCATCTTTTGTAAGTTCGTAAGGGATCACAATATTTTTATAGATGAACATATAAGAGTACGTACAACTTAGGTAAAATCAATTAAATCCGTAATAATACGATGGTTAGTCTTCTAATTTTTATATGATAAAAAACAAGAAACAATGAGCACCAACCAATAAAGAACCACCAATAATTTTATTTATGGGCTTATAGTTGGATCCAAGTCACAGACTACGAAATCCAGTGCAAATTAGCAGGTGGTTTCCTCGACATTTAGATTCAGCACCAAGACCATGCGGGCCATACGCTTACATGATAATAATAAGCACGATGACATAGAGATAGAACTACAGCATCAACCAATTCTGATTCCGGCACGCAGCGGCTTGAGAACGATAGGAAGGCCGTACTGAGGTTGCACAGAGATCGAGCGTCGAGGGGCGTGCTTGTACTCGGACGAAAGAGAAAAGGAGAACCTCTGCAGTATCATTGTGATCACAGTCTTGGCTTCCAACATGGCGAAGTTTCGGCCGATGCAAGCCCGCGGCCCTACCGCGAACGCGAGCAGCGCAGTGGGGTGTGTGGCAGCTTTGGTGACCCCGTGCTCGAATCTGAGTGGGTTGAACTCATCAGCATCAGGTCCCCATATCTCCTTGTTCCTATGAGTCAGCATGATCGGCATCACTATCTCGGTGTCTTTGGGGATGTTGATCTTCCCCAAGGTCATATCTTTACCGGCCTTTCTCCTTAGCACGTCGATTGGGCCGTAGAGCCTCAAGGTTTCCAGGAGAACCATGGTGACCTGCACAGGATCGACACACTGTCACACCACAGCTTTATCGAGCTTACATGGATAAAACGGGCACTGGATTTACTAGTTTCAGCTTTCTGAGCATATCTGCATCTGGGCTTTGCATCCCACACTCTCGCAGCACTTCCTCCCGGAGCTTCTCCTGCCAGTTCTGGTTTGTGCTCAACAAGAACACAGTCCACGTGAGGAACTGGGCGGTGGTCTCCTGCCCTGCGAAGAAAAACGTCTTGCACTCATCTACGATTGCGTCCATGCTCAGGATCTGCCCCTCTGGCTTGTGACAAGCTTCTAACATCAAGCCAAGCAGATCATTTCCGTAGCCACAGCGTTCCTTGGAATCCACTCGAGCCTGAATGATACTAACGAGTTTGCTCCTCACTCTCTTCTCCAGCTTCCATTTGTACAGGTTACTCCTGCTAGGGATGTATCTGCAAAGCAAATGAATCCAGATCAAGGATTCTGCAACGCCTGATGACATATCCCTGCAAGACTCAGGTGCAAAGTACACTTACTTGGTTCCTGGGATATTTATACTAAGATTACTGGCTACCACGATCTTCTGGAGTTCTTGCTGTGCTAGGAAGACTTCTTTCCCTTCCGTGAAGCTGCTTCCGAAAGTGGCTTGAGAGATCAAATCTACTGCCAGTTCTTGAAATTGTGCAGACACGTCTATTTCCTTCTGCTGATACTCTGCTTCCCAACCTTCTAACATTGCCTTAGCGCATTCTGCCGTTGTCTTTGTGAGTATCTACAACAAGCAACGAGTTCTTTGTGTTAATCGATACGAAAGGTCCAAAAGAAACATGCAATTTGATTTCTGATCCAATTACAGTAAATTACACCATCAGCTAGGCCAGACCAGACATCAAATTGAGGTCATAGAAGAGATATGGGAAGCTGACCTTGAGCTTCTCCATGTGGAAAGCAGGGCCGACGACCCTTCGATGCCTCACCCATTCCGTGCCTTCTACAAGGATCAATCCCTTGCCCAGGAGGGACGTAACGTTGGGAGGCGGATCGATCTTGGGGTAGAACCTGAACTTGTTCGCAAGAACTTGCTTAATTAGCTCCGGGTGGCAGACGCAAATCCTTGGCTCTGGTCCAAACCAAAACAAGAATGGTTCACCTGCTTGAAGAACAACGGATTGACTATCAGCGGAGCCACATAAGAAATCCGCATGGAGGACTTGATTCTTTTCAGCATGACAGTGGAAATGACAAATAAGTTATGCAGGATCTGAGGAAGGGAAGATGGAGTCTGACCGTATTCCGACGTCCACTTGCGGTAAAAAGGCTGAACTCTCGTGGAGATATCATGTGACTTTACGTCCAAGATCTGCTCCATGGCGGCTTTGCTTATGCTTCTTATCTCTCCGAGTGATCCCGACCAGAACCTGTAAGCAGGGCCTCTCACCCCTTGCTTCCTGAAAGCTTCTGTGATCACATATGGCCTCCATGTTAGATAATTCAACCCCTTCCATAAGTACCAGATCAGAACCACCAACAGAGCACCCAGTACGAGACCGAGATTACTCATCAGTCTTGCAGAAGGGAGAACTCGTAAAGGCGAAGCTTGACCTCCGATTCTTCCGGTTTCATCTACAACAAAACGATCTGTCCGACACAATGACCCATCTTGGCTTCGTTCACTGGTTATGTTGATTTGGATCCTTCTGTCCGTCATTTGTGATAACAATCAAGATATCCCGTGATAACAATCGCAACAACAGTCAAGATCTCCCGTGATAACAACAGTCAAGATCTCCGAAAATTATCTCTTCTAAACATGTATAAATATGGAGTATTGTGTACTGTTTCAATCAATACAATCTTCTTCTTTCTATGTCATTTCATTTCTATCATGGTATCAGAGCAGTGAGAAAAGCAAAGTTTTGCTTCTGCCTTCGGCCAGCGACCAACGCCCTTGCCTTCGGACTTAAGGGAAATGAAAGGAACGCCTGTGCCCTCATAGCAACAGCAACCGCAACAGTTATAGCAGCACTAATCTGCTTTTCTCCCAAGTTGCTGTCCTCTGCTTCTTTTTCGCCTCGACAAGCAGCATCCGGAACCATTTCCAAGTTACAACTACAGATTTTTCATCTAATCACTACAGATTTCTCGCTCATCGCTCACATCCTATCTATCTGCTTGTGGTATACAACATCCTTGTCAGAGACTACTGAACCTACCACAATTACTCAAGCCCAAAAATCTCCATACTGGCGTAAAGCCATGTGTGAAGAATATGATGCACTCCTCCATAATTCTACATGGACTCTTGTACCCTCTCATCCCACACAAAACATCATCGGGTGTAAGTGGGTCTTTCGAATTAAGCGGAACCCAGATGGATCCGTAGCCAGATATAAAGCGCGTCTAGTGGCCAAAGGATTTCATCAACGGCCTGGTGTTGACTTTACAGAGACATTCAGCCCTATTGTTAAACCCACAACAATTCGACTTATTTTGAGTTTGGCCATCTCAAAAGGCTGGCATTTACGTCAACTCGACGTTAACAATGTCTTTCTACAGGGGACCCTAACTGACGAAGTCTTCATGCAGCAGCCTCCTGGCTTCATCCACCCTCAATATCCAAAGCATGTTTGTAAACTACAAAAAGCTATTTATGGACTTCGTTAGGCTCCAAGAGCTTGGTACACTGAACTTGGCTCGTTTTTGGTATCAATTGGCTTCATCAACTCTAAGTCTGATACTTCCTTATTTCTTCGTCACCAAAGTGGCAATATATTATATCTTCTAGTATATGTGGATGATATTATTGTCACAGGCAATAATCCTATGGAAATCAAGGCATTCCTTAAGCATTTAGCAGATCGGTTCTCTCTTAAAGATCTAGGAACCTTGAGCTATTTTTTGGGAGTGGAAGCAACATATACATCTTTCGGGCTCTTTCTATCACAACGAAAGTATATTCAAGATCTATTATCTAAAACGAACATGCAAGATGCAAAGGCAGTTACAACACCTTTGTCTACTGGCGAGTCGCTCAAACTATGTGATGGAAGCCCTACTACAGACCCAACTCATCAAGTCCTTGGCTCCTTACAGTACTTATCTCTCACCCGTCCGGATATCTCATTTGCGGTCAATAAATTATCTCAATTTATGCATCGACCATCTACTATGCATTGGTCTGTAGTCAAACGAATATTACGATGTCTTCATGGGACTATCAATCATGGCATCTTTTTTCGCAAACACTCTCCCCTTCATCTCCATGCCTTTGCTGATGCTGATTGGGCAGGGAATTTTGATGACAGAACATCCATATCGGGGTATATTCTCTTCCTTGGACCTAATCCGATCAGTTGGAGTTCCAAGAAGCAAAAGACAGTTGCACGTTCTACAACTGAAGCTGAATACCGTGTCATTGCCACCGCAGCTGCAGAACTCAATTGGGTCATGAATCTCCTCAAGGAACTTGGCATCAACATAACTCTACTCCTATAATATATTGTGACAATGTCGGAGCCACTTATCTATGCGCCAATCCGGTATTCCACTCCCGCATGAAACACATTACCATCGACTTTCACTTTGTGCGAGAACAAGTTATCAAACATCAACTACGTGTGTCTCATGTACATACGGCTGATCAATTAGCGGACTCCCTCACAAAGCCTCTCACCCGCCAAATCGCTTTTATCACATCGGTCCAAGATCGGCGTCCTTGACAGAAGCACCGTCTTGCGGGGGCATGATAACAATCAAGATATCCCGTGATAACAACCGCAACAACAGTCAAGATCTCCCGTGATAACAACTGTCAAGATCTCCCTAACTACATGATAAGATATCATAAATCTGTTGAGGAAAATTCTCTCTTCTAAACATGTATAAATATAGAGTATTATGTACTGTTTCAATCAATACAATCAATCAATACAATCTTCTTCTTTCTATGTCATTTCATTTCTATCAATTTGCACTAACAAAATGTGGACACACAACTGTGTCGCTCAGATTCAAGTTTCTTGCGGCCATAAGAAAGATTTCTGCTGCTATCCATCACCCCGAAAGCTGCCACGCGAGTCATCAGCCAGTGGGGAAGCTTGTATCCGGAAAACTCTGTGTATGGTTGACCTTGCATTCGAGGGTATGTAGACCAACAATTTACAAAGATGTCGTGGAGTTGGATCATCGTCCATCAATACACATAGCATGAGGCATCGTGTGATTGAAAATGACTCAGCAACAAAAGCTAATATAAATAAAAATAAATAAATAAATTTCTTTCATTTGTGCCTCAATAGTTATTTTCATTTTCTCATTTAATATCATCAAACTTTATTCTTAACTCAAAACTGTAGTTATCAAAGTCGGATTAGAGATTGACTTTCTTGAAAAAGATTGGGTTAATGAGTCATCGATCAATCCGTGAGAGTGTAATTTTTATTTTTATTTTTTTAAAGAAAATATAACATTATATTATGCTAAAATATAAAATGTAAATAATAATATTTTTATAAAAAAAATAGGAGGATAATGGTGAATGAAGAATGGGAACGCCATGTATCCATAGTTCACATGAGTACTTCAAATTCATGCATCCCTAGTTCACATAAAAACTTAAATTCTGTGCACGGTACTAAAAACATTATAGAGAAAAATCCACATTCAATCAAATAATATCCGGGTCTCATTTTCTCTTTAATCTACAAGCAGGGTCTAATTTATGGAATCATCTTTTGTTCTAATCAGACGGATAATTGAGATGACGATGCAAAGCTGTCCATACATAATGGATTCAAAGAGAACGAAAAAAAAGCCAGTGAATAGTACCGTGAAAGAGAAGTTCAATCATTTTGGTCCAATTAAAGCAAGCATCCACCATGAAAATGCCTTTTTGTATTTCTCTTTAGATTTGAGATAATTCTCCTATTGCATGAGTTAGATGTTTGAGGAGGAGGAGGAAGGAGTTGCAATCCATTTTGCGATGTCAAATTCTTATATTTTAATTGCTTTTTTCATGTCAATAATTGATACATATTTCATCAAATTCGAACAATGGTCAAGTAAATATTAATAACAGATTTAGGAAAAAAATTTAATGTGCATATTTAAAATACACTATTGTTTAAAATATTTAAATTATTAGATAGTAAAATGCTTAAAATATCAAACATATAATTTAATTAGTATTTAAAAAAAATCTCTTTTTAGTATTTTTCAAATGGCAACCCTTCTTTTCATTATTTCCAAACAATCATACGATATTTTTAAGATATTATAAATATCCCTCCAAAAGCTACCATCTATTTTTTCGCCCATTTATGATCCACCCTATTGGCCGGTCCATAGGGTGGTCTACTCCAAGTGTTACACAAACACATTATATATAGTCATAAAAAAATAATGTATTGCTGAACATATTTATTTAAAATATATTTTTAAAATATTTAAAACATTGTACACTCCATCTTTTTAAAATATGTAAAATATATTTATTCAAAAAATAATTATTTTCTCATCAAAACCCAACCAAGTGAATCGATTCACAGTTTTTCGTTCACTGTATGGATTACAAAGTTTCCGAATAAATTTACAGTGATTTGTCGAGTAGCCAAGAACACTATAATTCTATTAAAAAATATTTAATTTATTTTTCATTATCATTGATCACCAACGAATGAAAACAAGTACTATAAGTTACCCTAAAATATATACACATAAGTTTAAGATTAGATGGAAAAAAATTAATATTTTTTTCTATGACGAGGAGCTGACTATGATGGATTAGAAACACTTGCTTTTAAATATAATTAGGATTCACATGAAACGGGAAATAGTTATTTTTTTTCAGTTTTTGTTAAAATAATTTTTATAAGTGAAATTGTATAATAGGCTCCAAATTAGTCGATGAGATGATAAGCTTAGATAGGAAGGAGAAGACGACGACAACGATAACGAGAGGAGGGAGGAGATATATAGATTTTAATTCTTTTCAATAGAACATGCTATATGAAATCATAATTATATAAAATATATTACAAATTTTATATATTTTCATAATATTTTAGTATAAAACTTGTTATGAATGATGAATAATAAAGGATAAATCTTTATCAGCTAAGCTAGCTAAGTAATTTAAGATGAAAATAAAAATTCAGTCCAATTTATGATGAGAGTTGAAGATAACATTTTTTGTACCTAAATTAGTCAATATCTTCAAATTTTAATAAGAGCATCGAGTATCAATGAAAAGATCTTTTCTAAAAATTGATATTAGAAAAATCATGACATTTACTTTTAGAGTGAGAAGGTTGACCTCCAATTGGAGTTGCATTACATACAACATAAATGTATCAAGTGGATTTTATGTAGACCATGGAAAACACATTATGACCAAAGTTAAAACATACTGGTTTTGGAGCCTCCCAACTTTGATCCACACACACAGCTCGACTCATTGAATGAATCCCATCATGTCTCTTTGCGAAGAATAATGCTTGGAATTTAGTGTGCCAAATCCTTGAAAGCTGGTGGCTGAGTGGGTAGACAAAATGCGACATTAACATGTGGGTTGCAAGATCAATCATTAATACTTATCTCATCACTATGTTTCTGAGTTTCTCCACAATCATATGAATTTATCTCTTTTTATTTAGAAACAAATATGGAGTTCATGGAATATTATTATTCCCGAAAGAAAATATAATTTTTTTATCAAACCAAAGTTTCTTGAGAATAATTTCTATATCGATTGATGGCTAAATAATATGATATATCGAAGAAAATCCAAGTATCCTTCTTACTTAGAAAAATAATCAAGTTTATAATTGAGGTAATCATTGGTCTCCATTTGTGCAGCAAGTAATTACTGATGCTTGCATTTGGAATAAGCATAGTCCTCAAAAACGTTGAATATAGTTTTGAGAATGGATGTATTACATAAACGAGTGTATGGTGTATGAAACATAATTGCAATGGATGTTCCTAAATTAGAGTCTTGAAATGAAGATAATAAGGACCGAGCATTTCGAGGTTTTTCCGCAAACTTACATGAAAATTAAGATATATTTCTGAGATTTGACTTACAAGTCATTATTCTAGGTTCTATCACTCTTGGAGTTGGTGCATAATTATTTGACTGATATAATTTCTCAAGTCCTCCATTATTCTTAAAAATGAGCAAACAAATGCTTCCTGTTTGGTGTTCACTTTCTGTCATATTGTCTGTCTAGTTCTAGGGAGGTGGAAGATGATGATAATGAGTCATTCAATTCTATTGATATTTGTCATCTCCTATCCATGATATTTATTGTGATCAGATTGAGATGAATAGCTGCATCACTTGCCATTCTAGTAAAGGTAAGTTGAGCTGTATCTCTCTGTCCAAGAGCACGGTGAAGTGAGTGAGCTTCTCTTGCTTTGATATGATGGATTGGTGTTCTGCATCATTGACACTTGAAGTTAATGCTTGCCATTTTGTGCCTTCAATAAAACCGTATGTTAACGTAAATAAATAGATGAAGGAGAGATTTGATCGAATAAGTTCTTATTTGTTCATATGGGACACCCTTTTTCCTACAGTTAATATGACTAGATGAAGAAGAAAGGACTAAACGAGAGAGAAGAAGGAACAACAGACATCAGACATGACCAGTGAGATCATGAGGTTTCAGTTCAAAGGGTAGTAAGGATCGAGCCATGGGCTGCTGTGGTCGATGTAGGATGGAATCGTTTCATCCCCTCCACCAAACATCACGTTGTGATCGTTGGGGTTCATCACCTCCATGAACCAGTCCTGCCGCTGGAGCGCCTCCATCGCCGCCTCCACGGGCGTCTTCTCCCTCGTGGCCACGGTTGTCTCCGCCGTTCGCAGCGCGGAGGCCACGTGCTCCTTCCTCACGCGCTCGATCCGGTCGTGCACCACCTTCGCCTTCATCTCCACCATCCACGCCAGGCTCGTGGCGTCCTCGATGCTCACGTCGTCGAGGCTCCGCCCCGCCAGGCCCTCGTGCACGAGCAGCGCCACCTCCAGCTCACGGTTCTCGCGCGCCTGCTTGCGGAGCTGCTCCTGCAGCTTGGCCACGCGCTGTCGGAGGAACCCCTCCTGGTTCATCATCTTCTTGCACTGCTCCATCTCCGGCATGCTCTTGAAGCGCGCGAGCACCCGGGTGGCCTCCGGCACCGACGGCCACACCTCCGGGTGCGGCTCCTGCGGCCCGTACACGATCATGCACGCCTTCACGTCGCACAGAGTCGACAGCTCGCTCACCTTTTTCATCAACCCCTTCCTCCTCTTCTTGAAGGTCGCCCTCCTCGTGGAGTCATTGGCGATCCATGCAAGGTTTACCTTCTTCCTGGCCATGTGTACCGTATGCTGCGTACGGTTAGTTACCTTTTATAGGGGGAAGCAGGAGGAGTGTTTTGACCGAGGGATTGCATCTTTAATTCACTGTTTTTAAGACATGCTGAGGTGGATGGAAAGAAGTGTTAGGATGGAAAGGGGGATTAGGGGGTAGCATTTAGATTGGTTAAATGATGATGGAGATGGAAAGAAATCAGCCTGTGAGGATCATCATGATATTATGATTATAAAGATGGGCTTTGACCAAGGGATTGCATCTTTAAGACATGCTGAGGTGTGTATCAAAATCTTTAAGGTATCCAGCTTTTTGGAGTTGTGGATGTGCTAATTGAGACCACGAGCTACAAGAATTCTTGTCAACGCATGTTCGAATATGTTACTACTTGGCATTGGACTTGGTTCATGGATTCATGGACATGAGGTCTGTGACATGCAACCTATTAAACCTTCACCACATTATCTTATATTCTAAAGACTTTGATGGGCATGGAATTGGAGGATAGAGATTAAACTAGGCATGCACCCTTTTCTTTTCTTTTTTTATTCTTATCTATATATGACGATGATGATAAGCATGAGAAATGCCTAAAAATTAAGCTGTAAAATGTTTATGTTCCAACTTGCATGTCGTTTTGCTCGAACAAAGACCGAAGGGAGATTATTCCCATGAAGATCCTTGGTTGCTAGTTTTTTCTACATAGTAATAATCAACATGATCGAAATATTTATTACCTGATTGATGGTTTCATCAAGTAACTATGCAAGAGGGGAAAAAATGTATTCCATATGCCCAAACGGTGGTGTCTAAGTCAGCTGCTTTGCAAGTGAAAATTTAGCTTCAATTTTCTCAAAATCTAATTTAATCATAAAATGCCATTTGTCTTCGAATAATTGATTTGACATTGATGCTTGTGACATTTGACTCCAACCAATGATTGATGATCGCTCGAACCGATGCGAAACAATCAATTCACTCATGTAAAAAGGAAGTAGCGAAACCCAAATCGCACTTCCTGCACACAAACTGACCACGTAGTGACTTGCCTTAATCATACGCAAGATACACCACACAATATCATCATACACTACCATTGTGCATCGTCACATATCAGTATGCCTCTTCTCCTCTTCCTCTTACTCTTTCCTCCACCCTTTCTCTTTTCTTCCTTTTGCTGCCTTCTTCGTATTTTTCTTTTATATCTGAAATAATAATGTACCGACACAAAATACATTGACACTAATTGATCGATACAGATCCAACTAATGGTACATCAGAGAAAATTGACTTGTACTGATCCAACAAGATGACTGAAAAAGATCTGATACTGAAATGACGATCCTCACTCCAACTAAGCAATCATTTCAACTTTTTATGCAACATTTAGGAAAGTAAAGCATTATCAAATACATAAACAATAGCAGGTAGCCCCGGATACCAACCAAGTTCATGTTGATAACCTACATATGCAACACTATTCTCGCAAACTCCTGGTGAAATATGTAGCTGCTGATCTCCTTACAAGTTTCCACGCACAGAAGAAAACATACTATTCCATTTGAACGTCTTGAGAATCAAATCCCATCCAACGAAGTCAAAGAAACATATCAAGAGCCTTGAATGGTTTCTGATTCAGCAACATTCAGAATTAAGTGCATTTTGACCAACTTATGAAGGCAATTTTGACCAAATGTTTTACCAGCTTAAAATGTCTGTCCCATTGAACCAAGTCCAGCAGCAGAAACAACAAAAAAACCTCTGCATTGTAGGCAAAAGTATGTGCTATCTTCATACGTACCATTTGCTGTCCACATCATGCTGAAATATACATGTAAAGATGCTCCACAGAAAATTCAAAAGTACATTTCCAAAGAGCAGCTCCTTCACACCTGCTGCAATATTTACAAACTTGTGCCCTTGTTTTGTGCATTGCTGATCAGCTAAGCTATACATATCTCCAAGCGAAACAGCAAAAGAATTCCAAAACATTTGCTTTTCATCGCAATATTGTTCAGTTCAAAAACCAAACTGAGACCATTGAAAATTTGCTATTAGCCAATCATGTAATTTGAAGGAAAACAAACATATGACTCAAAGTTGCATACTGGCAATATTCTCTATGGCTGTCTGCTGCTGACATCACTTCAATAATGGAGCACTTTCTACAAGAGATCAAACATCTGGAACTCCACAAACACAACTTGATACCTATTGACCCTCTTGAAAAGAATTTCATGCAATTTTGTAAGGTTGTTAATGAAGACATTTACTGTTCCAACTCAAAAACTTGATGTGTTACCTGAATTTGTGCGGTTCTTAAAAAAAGAACTCATTGTATCTTGTACTTTAAACTTCTACATTAACCGACACCATTTCCTGTCATGGTTACCAAAATCATCTCCAAAGAGTTTCATCAAAATATATTTCTATGCAAAATAAGCAGGCAAAACTTGAAATCAAACAGTCCAAATGCAGACAAAACAAGACTGTTATCTAATGCACATCTTGCCAAAAGACAATTGAAGCACCTGAACTAAACTGCTGAGAGAACAAGAAGACCTAGAAACCAATGAAACACTTCGAAGACAAGTATCACTCAACTAGGTACATTTATCAATCTCCTCTACGACTGCCCAGTGCGCACTACTGAAGTCAATTCAATGATGGAGAGGACCTTTTGCAAGAACTGAGGCATGTGCATCTCACAATAGCCGACTTAATTTCAGTCAATCAGTAAGGATTCAAATAAGGTTGTGTGATTTTTAAGAAACATCTCAGGATTCCAACGCAAAAAGATCAAATATGCTACAGCATTAGCACACTGAAACAATAATGTAAATAGAAAAGTGGGCTCTGTTTCTGTTATAACATAAGCTTCTCTATCAACATATAATGATGACATATGCATGTGCATAAACAAGAAGTGCTTGTAACTAAGAGCCTAGTCCAATTTTAGCTAATGATTATCAAATAATTCACAATATTGTTTGACACAATTCTATCAATCCAAACATGAATTCTATACATGCCTAATCCTCAAACTCTAATATCATAAAGCTCGTAGCCTCAGTGAAGACAACATCATCAATAAAGGGAAAACCATTCATTAATAGAAAGTATGTTGTCTTCACAACCAATCCACAACAAATAAAATGAAGATTACTTCGGTCTTACTTTCAATCGTTAGTGTCTTTATCTTAAAGACAATGGGTAAGAAAGGACATTTGTGTACCATATTTTTTAATATATTTCATAATTTCCCTAATTTTATGGTTCATTGCTGCATTATATACATTATAAACACAATTTTGGTCTGGCATGTGGAAAAAATTACTTCAAGAATATTCGGTATGGATCAGCACTCTAACATGTGCTCGACCTATGAAATTTAGATACACATTATTTTTCTTACAAATATTTTGTTTGCAACCCAAATGCAATCTGTGGCTCTGTGCAACAGCATATCTCAATGTGGTCATATGATTGCAGAGCATAAAGCCCATGTGGCTATGATACACACCACTATTGTGTAAGCTAAATATGTGGCAGCATAATCAACAGAAAATAGCTATGCAGGAACATGCATTGGTGGCATTAGCACAAAAATTCAGTCACATAACTAATATTTCCTTTCCATTTCTATTATATATTACCCTAACATATGCTTGTGATGACATGACATTAATAACTCAAAACTTCAAGTTTTCTTATAATGTATCACTTAAACATCTCCATAAATAAGTGCAAATGTCATCCTATAAATTCTTAATTTGCTATAGTGTACAACATTTATTATTTTACCTTAATGTATTATTCTTAATTATTATATTTAAATTTGAAAAACAAACAACCATATTCGTGATCAAATATGAGCTATGCCATACCTCAAAGGCAAGCATATGGTAGTGGCAGTTTAAAATAATCTATTTTAAGATCTCAACCTCAATTTAATTCAAAACCATCAAAACAAATGCAAACTAATTGAAACCATTGAAACTGACTTAAAATGACCAAAAACCAATGAAATGGAAATAAAGATAAAAACCTCGGCTGGCGTGACATAAAGTTATGCATCATGCAATTATATGTTTTGGAAAGTTCATTCATAAGACTTGACAAGAGATTATCTGTAAAGTTCCAAGTAACCTACTTGTCCAACAAGCTACATGTAAGAACTTCAAAACATGATCCAGATAATTTATAATATCAAGCCATGCAACCATTTCCATTTCTCTAATGCAAAGCTAATGGGTAAAAGGATATGCCATATAACTAAGCATCTGCCTCTAGGAGTCACAAACAGAACGAGGCATATATATAGGCTTCAATTATATTAAATATAAGTAGTTCCTACATTTCTTTCTATGACAACAAACATATCATCAACGTCGACTTGGAACATAGTTAGTGAGGCCACATGAACATAAAGTATTTTATGATAATCTAGTGCTATAAATTGCTTATCTCAAGTGAATTTTACTAGCATGACCCAATATACCAAAACTAAAATTTAGTAGAAAACCTCTCTAAGTGTTCTCTCTCTCTCTCTCTCTCTATATATATATATATATATATGTATGTCTATACTTTCTGTTTTTCCTGATATTCCACCTATCAGGATATTTAAATGCCCATGTATCAAGTGACAATTTGAGTAATAAATACAGTAAGTGTAATTCCATATCAATCATCATGATAATTTACCCTACCTTTGATAGAAAACAAACTAAAACCTGTAAAAATTCTATGCCATATCAATGTAAAAGATAATTTAATTTCTTCAAAAAAATAATCCACATAAAAGAACTAATAAATCATGAGTTGCTGACATTTAAACAGTGTGATGCCAATAACTACTAATACAGCATTCGTAATTGCAAGCAATGCATCTTGTAAATGAAAGAATCAGTAGTAATATGCTGCCCCAAACAAACTTATTTGACTAAGTTTCTAAAAGAGATAATAGCTACCCAGATAGGTAATTTGGCATGCTTCAGAGATAGTATTTATAGCATCTAAATTGACCATTTCTAGTTCCCAAGCCTGGTGCTTTGCCATCTTCAGGGACCAAGTTGAAGAAAATGCATTTATATGAAATACGCCCTTAATTTTCCCAGTTATTTCCTAAATTATTGTCTTTTCCATAATACGACCTTAATTTTTCTCCCAAGTTATTGTACATCCTTACATCAACTATACTATGTTTTTCTCTTTCCATAACCTAAACACTATTTGCCACTAACTGTCAATTTCTAGTGCACCTTCTCCGTCACAAAAGATCTTCTCCATCTTCAAATTACAAATTCATGCATAAAATTTCAAATCCAACGACATCCAAGCAACATCTAGTTCTGTCGTACTGTACACAATACTGTCATGCTTAGTGTCTAAGACTAGAGCTTACTGGTTAAGGAATGGAGAACATGTATTAACAAAACGGTATAATAAAGAGCAAACGATGTCTTAAGAAGTAATAAGTATATCAATAGTAAGCATTATGTAGCAATCCTAATTACTATGATGCATGTAACAATATCCTAGAGAAAACAAGTAGTCTTGTCCAATCAACAAAAGATCAGTGAGCAATATGAAAATCTAGTGTAAAAGTGCTTCCACAAACTAGTGACTCTCAAAGCATAAACAGCATAAAGGCAGTGAACAAAGCACCCACCAAAGTAGATTCTAGGAAGTATCAAATTTCGCATCCTTACCCCTGAAAGCAGAGTTGTTTCCATATCAAGCTGCCCACTTTCTTTTCTCCTATTTTTCCTCTCAAAAAACAAAGATCAAAAGATGGAAATGATCAAAGTTAACTAAGACTAATTAGGGACTATAAGAAGCCGAAAACATAGTCCATTGAAGTCCAGTATAGCTAACACTGTCCAAGGAAACAAGAATCACAAATCAAAGCACAGGATCCAGCACTAAGAGTTGCAAGCTTTCTGGCAGAACCTCTAATCAGTTCCCTGAAGACTTGAGTTCCTCCAAGGTCGCCTTGATGTGGTCCCTTACAAGATCTATCCGTTTCAAGTAAACCTCCATTTCCAGAATCTGCTGCTTTCTCCATTTGTCATCCACAGGTGTCCCTGGGGCCCCCAAAGAACTATCCCCAAGGCTCAGGGGCAGCAGGCTGAATGGTGATGTCCCACCACTGGGTCCTGGACCAAGAGGCCCTCCAATAGCAGAATTTATCAGCTCCTTAAACAAAGGTGAGAGGCAGCTCTTCACAGTCTCCTCGATGATGCTTGGCATCCCAGATGCTGAAGCTAAAGGCGTTTGCATCATAGGAGTGGAATTCTCTGTTCCGACTCCTCCAACTGGTGCTGCTGCAGCTGCCTCTTCCGCGAGTCTCCTATTCAAGCGCCTTCTCGATCTTGAGATCCTTCTATTAGAACTCAGAGAACCCTCGTTGATGGGAACTGTGATGACCTCGTTGGGGATGGTGTTGTTGGGGGTATTCAAGTCCTCATCGTCGCTCTCATGGGCCCTCTTCACGCTCGCGCTCCAGATGTTCCGAGCGATGTCATAGATGGCCCGCTCGTGGGCGCTCTTAAAGGCGAAGTCTTTCCCCATGGACCGCATTCGACTGACGCAATTCCGGTACTTCTTCTTCAGCCGGCGCAGTTTCTCGATGAGCTGGTTCTTCGTGAACTCAAATTGGAGCTGCTTCTTGATCTCCTCGTAGAAGGGGCCGGTGTCGTACTGGTGTGAGGCAAAGGTGGTGCCGCGCCTGGATGTGAACTCGAAGAATCCCTGCAGAATCTTGATCTCTTCTTCGTCGGTCCAAAGCCGCTGGAAGAGCCGGCGGGAATCATCGAACGCGACGACGGCAAGGGACCTTCTATCCTCGGAAGCGGAGGCCGCGGAGACCAGGACAGGGACGGAGGAAGAGGAGGGAATGAATAGGGCAGCGTCGGAGGAGGGGGCAGAGGCGGCGGCAGAGACGGATAGTACTTGGACCGAGATCGCACCATTCTGAGGAGCGGCGGTAGCGGTGCTGGTGGTGGCGGAAGCCACGGTAGCGGCGTGGGTTAGGTTGGGGTTGGCTTTGGGGTCAGAGTTAGGGTCTGCAGCGTGATGGGAGGAGGCGGCAAAATTCGGATGGCCAGCCGCAGGTGATGCCTGAGGCTGCAGCGGCGGAGGCGGCGGCAAAGTCGCCTGGGAGGCCTGGCCATCACCACCGTCGTCGTCCTCATCTTCGCTGTCGTCGCTGTCGTCGTCGTCGTCGGTGTCCTCCTCGTCCTCGAAGACAGCGCGCTCCTGCTCTGCTTCTTCCGCGCTCGGCATCTCCTATTTTTCTTCTCTCTTGAAGCGAATGGATCGATCCGGCACGGAGAAGGGTTCGGTTAGATTTGGGTTTAAATTAGGGTTAGGGTTTGGTCGCGATGTGATACCTCGGGCGATGTTGGGTAGGAACGACTACGGCTTCAGGTCAGATACACGAGGATTTGGTGTAATCCGCGGCAGGTCGTGAATCTTTACCGCACGATGCCTCTCGGACGGTCATGATGATGATCGTGGTTTGGTGGAACCACGGGTTCGATAAGGCCGTGGCAGGTTCCAAACAATAAAAGCTCCCATCGTCATATCTACAGGTCGAATCTTAACTGCTCGTTAGACGGTCAAAGCTCGGAAGATGCCACCCATCCGACGGCCGAGATTGGTCGAATCGCAGATCTGTCCTTGCCTCCGACTGCCTCAGTTCAGGTAACAGAACCAATGGAATCGAGCCACGTATGACAAAACAATCATTTTACTTACGTGTCGCATGACAAAGCACGTGTTATGGTGTCCAGAGTGCAGTAGCCACGAATCCTAGGAATTTGACTGTGTCATACGTGCCTATGGGCCCCACGTAGAACATCTCCTATTGCCTGTTTGCAAGTACCCACTACGGCATGCAGTTTACCTTGGATTGCTTCCATGGAAGTTGAAAGAAGATGAAGAAGACAAAAGATCGAACACCGAGAGGACAATGGAAGACAGTGAGGGTGCAACAGGCTGCGGACAACACTTTGTCGAAGTAACCTTTATTGCACAACAAAAACACTTGCTTACATGAATCACAATAAACCATTCCAATCCTGCATAATTCACCACTCCACTAGATCTCTAAGCTATGGTAATTTGAGCATGCTTATGCAACATGATGTACGGATAACATGGAGTCTTCTTGTTGCTTTTATGCGGAAGACTTCATCTCTTCTAGGAAGGCTTCCATGTGCTCCTCCTCCACGCACTGCGTCATTATTCGGGTACCCTTCTTGGGCGTTGGCGGCGCCCCGATGATGCCGACCGCCATGAAATCGAAGTAAGCGAAGGGTATCACGTGGAGCGGCTTCCCCCACCCGTAATCCACGTCAAGGAAGCCCAATCGCGTCCAGTCCGACACGAACAGCGAGTCGTACGTGAAGGTGAGCTCGTAGGGATCCTCCTTGAAGTCCCCCACAGCCCACTTGGCGAACTTGCCGGGGAGACCGGCCTTGGCGATCCTGATGATGTTCACCACGTCGACGAGCTCCGCGGTAGCGACCTGGCCGCTGCGGGCGGTGACGGCCACCGGGTAGAAGCAGTTTCCGTAGAACCCGCCTTCCGCGGGCAGCAGCTGCTGCATCAGGTGGCGGGTGTTGGCGAAGAAGCAGAGGTGGACGTGGGCCTCGGGGTCGAGCTTGATGGCGCGGGTGCGCGACCGCCACAGCTTCGCGATCGCGACGTCGAAGGTGGAGCAGCGGTGGCCGGTGAGCTCGAAGTACTGCGCCTTGATCTGGTTGACGGCGTCGTGGGAGACGTCCATGGTGTTGTAGAGCAGCCTGAAGGCGGGGAAGACCGGTGGGCCAGCGGGAGGGAGCTTGGGAGGGCTGGGGATGACCTCCCTTATCCATACCGGGTCCACGATGGGCTTCGGAAGGCCCCGAGCAACCTCACCGATGGCGTTCACGAACTGGGCGGCACCGAGGCCGTCAGCGATGGTGTGGACGGAGATGAGGCCGACGACGAATCCGCCGCAGATGAACTCCGTCACCTGTAAGGGAGAAGAACGTAGGAGTCAACTGCTTGCCATAGAAGTCCCTCTCGCCACAACTCCACACGCGCGCGCGCACACAGTCTTAAGATCACGGCGTAGGACTCAAACAAGAACATACAGATCTGTGCTACATGTCATGAAATCATCAAAGTATACATGCCTGCATCATGAGAGGAAGATTTATGGGGTCGAACTCTGGGCTTGGCACAGGAAACAGCTCATCCTTGGAGATCATGAGCGGGAGGTCGAGATACTTCACGTCCTCGAGGCTACAGTTCGCGGACGCCTCGACAAACCAGGCGCCCTCGCCGGTGCAAGCGACACACACGTCACCTTGCTCGGAGTCCACGAACCGGCCGGCGAAGGGGTAGTACATCACCAGCACCCTCGACAGTGCGTCCTTGATCACCTCGGCCGGCTTCTCGCCGTGCTGGAACACATGGAGCGACCGCACCATGTGCCTGAGGCCGGCGACGCGGTCGATGATGGAGAGGGAGAGCGTCTCGTTGGGAGTCGGTTCGCGTGGAGCGACGAAGGAGTGGGACGTTCTGGTCACGGAGAAGCTCATCTTCTTCTTGGCCTGCAACTACTGGATTGATAGCACATGTAGGTTTTGGGGCGTTTAAATAGATGGAGAAGATTGCAGGTTGTTGCGTCTCGAGTTCATGCTGTGAGGAGGAGAACACCATCAGATCGTAGGTGAAAGTGCAATTCATCTCTAACAGTCGAAATGTGTACTCTCAGACAACGATCGTTGTTGGTGTTGGTGGAGATGAGTATGAAGAATGTGTGGATGAAACAACCAAGATGGTTTCTGGACTTGCAAGTTTTGTGCACACCAACTCTTGACGTTGATAGCATTGCATCCACATTATAATTATTTATATCACACGTCTATCCTCTTAAAGTATTATTACATATCTATCCTTAAAGTATAAAAATTGTAATTGTTCCTCCAAAATTAGCATACTATAATTATAAGTAGACTATCTGAATTAAAAAGAATATAAAATTTTAAATACCTAAAATGATTTTATTATTGTATTAATTATTTTACCCTCCATTTATTGCATTAGGATTATCTATCTCTTTCATTTTGATCCTGGAAAAAATTAGATATTTGAAGGATTATATCAAATATTTTAGAAGGATTGAATATATATAT